AAGAGAGTGTATATGGGTGAAAGGAGAGGTGGGGAGGGCTGGGAGGAGTTGATGGAGGGGAAACTGGTCAGGAAGTATTTTGTGGGAGAAGAAACAGTTTTCAATTTAAAATAATTAAAAATTTGTCCTGCAAGCAAATAGTTTGTGGGGTCCTGTCTTGAATTGACATGGGAGGACACAGCCCACTGTGAGTGCAGTGCCATGCCTGGGCAGGTGGTCCTGGGTTGTATTAGAGAACAAACTGAACAGACATGAGAAGCAGGCTACTAAGCAGCACTCCTCTGCAGTCTCAGCTTCAGTTGCTGTCTTCTGTTTTTATCATAATTTCCCTTCATGATGGGCTATGATGGAGACATGTAAACTGAAATAAACCCTTTCTTTCCCAAGTTGCTTTTGGTCATGGTGTTTTGTCATAGTTATAGAAACATCTAACTAACAGACTATTCTTTTTGTTCACTAGAGATTTTTCTGTTTTGTGCACTGTCAATTCATACTTGAACAAACAAAACAAAAAACAACAACAAAATAGTATATTTCATTAAACATTTTGATAACTACTTTCTCTGGAACACTCAGGAAACCCAGGCAATCCAGGATTATTTTGCTGAATGGTATGGACTCTGATACTGGAGGAGAGTATTCTTGTCAACTGCATCCACTATGATCTGACTTATATAAGCCTGATTCCTTTTATCAATATTTCTTCTTAAGCTTTTACAGATATTTACTACATAGTTTTCCAAACTTCTTAAACCGCAACATGGTGTTTGTTTTTGGTATATTTTCTGTGTCATTTTTCTCTTGTTACTTATTTTAAGATACATTGTTTAGACACGAACAATTCTGGGTTAGAATTTTTTACTTTGGGATGGCAACCCCATACCTCCACTTGATGCCCTTTCTTTCTACTGGTTCTAATAGTTCCTTCTTGCCACTGTTGGGCATTTCATCTACAGTCCCTCCCTTTGTGTCTTGAAAGTCTCTCACCTCCCAAGTCTCTGATATTTTCTAGAGGATCCCTCCACTTCCCATCCTCCAAGGTTTCATATCTCCATTCATTCTGCTGACCCTCATGGCTTCTCTCCTGTCTTCCCCCACTCCCAATACATGATTATGTTTCTCTTTTCCCTTTCCCTCTACTTTCCCACCCAGATCCCTCCCTCCTTCTACCTCCTGTGATTATTTTTTCTTCCTCCCAAGTGGGACTGTTCACGTACAGTTCTTCTGTTTGTTAACCTTTTTGAGTTCTCTGGATTGCATCCTAAGTATTCTGTACATTTTTTTAACTAATATCCACTTATTAGTGAGTACACACCATGGATGTCCTTTTGGATCTGAATTACCTCAATTCAGGGGTATTTTCTAGTTTCATCTATTTGCTTGCAAAACTCATGGTGTCCTTTTTCTTAATAGCTGAATATTATTCCATTGTGTAAATGAGCCACATTTTCTGTACCCATCCTTCGTCTTTGGGACATCTGGGTTGTAGCCAGCTTCTGGCTATCATAGATAAGGACACTATGAACATAGTGGAACACATATTCCTGTGGTATGGTGAGGCATCTTTTGACCTTTAGGGACAAAACTGGAGAAGAGACTGAGGGAAAGGAGGTCCAGTGGTGGCCGAACTTGGGATCTGTCTCAAAGGAGGCTAAAACACCTGACACTATTACTGATGTTGTGGTGTGCTTACAGAAATAAGCCTAGCACGGTGGTCCTCTGAGAAGCCCAACAAGCAGCTGACTGAGACAGATGCAGATACTTACACCCAATCATTGGACTGAAGTTGGGAACTCTGTGGTTGAGTTAGGTAAAGGCTGAAAGAAGCTGAGGAGGAGAGTGACTCCATAGGAAGATCAGCAGTCTCAACTCACCCAGACTCCTGAAATGACTAAGACACTGAGCCACCAACCAGGCAGCATACGTGAGCTAGTCCAAGTCCCCTGACACATAAACGGCCTCAGTGGGAGACAATGCACCTAACCCTCCAGAAACTCGAGGCCCCAGGTGGTAGGGAGGCCTGGGGTAACATCCTCTTAGGGACAGGAGGAGGATGAATAGGCTGAGGAACTGTGGAGGGGCAATTGGGAGGGAGCAATGGCTGTACTGTAAAAAGATAAAAGTAATAATAATGATGATAATGATAATAATAATAATAATAAAGATATGCTTTTTTACTTCTACAACTATTCTCTTGACACTGAATTACTATTTTTCTTCTTAGCAATAAGTTTACATTCAAGTAGATATATTTCCTGACTTTTATGTAGCAAGTGTTAGAACATAGGCACACACATATAGGACAGATTTGGTCCCTGAACCATTTCATGACTCAGTACCAGTTCAGTTCTCTCTGAACCAGAAAGTTAAGAAGTAGTTAGTGTGCTCAATTACCAGGCTCCTCTGTATATGTCATTTACACTATGTTAAACTAAATCCAGTTATTGACAATTTCCCGTCATTGTTAACAAGTTATGAGAAGTTAAATTTTTTCTTTGTTGTGAGGACTTATACAGTCTCTTCAGGGGATATTCTCAAGGAACTTCTAAGAAGTCTGTGGCTCTGAAGAGGTCTTTTCTGCCACTTCACCTTTGTCAGCAACCCTCTCATGGTGGCTATCTTGCTTTCTCCTTATTTTTCACTTTATAAAGTTCCTATGTTTGTATTTATTTTAAATGTATTTATTCTATATGTATGAGTATTTGTCTGAATATGTGTATGCTTGTATCTTTGTCATAAAAATAAATTTGTCTTTCAGATAGCAATAAGGACTAAAGAGAAAGGCTGATGGTATTATCAGGTTTATGGAAGAGGTAATAATACATCTAAAAAAATTCATTTTTCTTATATATTTTAAGGCTCATCTTTTTGAGAATATTTGATGATCATGATAGAAATGGTCATGCTTTCCATAATTTATGATAATGCAATATTTTAAATATCATACTGAAGGACTATGAGTCAGACAGCTCCTCAATAAGGAGATAGGGAGAAGAATTTTTAGGTAGATGAATGTACATTTAATTTTAATATTTAAGATGAATGCATTTATGCTGTTTCTTCTTTACCAATGTCAGAAGGAACCAATCTAACGCCATTTTGAGTAAAACTTCCATTTTGAATGGGGTTAAACAAAGGTTAAGTTTGAAAAACTTTCTTTTGTAACTGACATCTTACTTGGCAGAGAGAGACATGTGTGTGTGGCTAACTGATATCTTAGTTGACAAGTTAAGACATGAATGATAGACATGCCACTCCACTATAGTTGAATAAACCAATCAATGAGAACAGGATAAATGTACCATAAGGAAAGTTTCCTAGGAAATTCCCCTTATCTGTAAATACTGACTGGTGGAAAAATGTAACTGTAAGTTTTCACAGACATTTGTGGTTTTCACGCTTAAAAACATCCTGGCTCAGGTCACAGTTCATCTCCTGAATCTATTTTGCAACCCTTATCAGTTTGATTACAATAAATTTTTTTTAATGTATTGACCTGGTGTTTGAGTTGTGTTGGATCTAAACGTCATAACCTTGGGTGTATTGGCAGCGAATCCACTCACTTAGTGCCTGGTTTGTAGTCATCCACTATTGGGTACTTCACTTTTGAAGTCCAAGACCTTTAGAGACAAGCCTATCTTCTCTTTTGTGCTTGGCACCTTTGTGGGACTCAAGAAAGGAGAAACTGGATGCAATATTGTTCCTAGAGTCAGAGAATAAGTGATGTCCTGACCACTCTCTGGTTCCTGTTAGAGTGACACCTGGTTCTAGTTCTGGGTCCCTCTTCCATTAGCTCCCCCTTCTTATTGGTTGTCCTTTGTATGTCAACCTCTCCATGTTGGTCAGTTTGTGTCTGCAGTTTTTAATTTGATTATTGTTATGTGCTTTTTGGTTGTTTGTTTTTTGTTTTAAGAATCTAAAAGTTTATTATTAAATACATATCCCAAAACATTCAAGTTTTTAAAAAATTACAGCATAAGACAAAGTGTGTATACACACAAATATATATTATATAAACATGTCAAATTGATCAACAAGACACACTGATCTATCCATGTTCACAACAGTAAAGTAAACACTCTGAGACAGTTCCCTATAGTCTGTGAAGATACAAGCAGGAACTCCTCAGCAAGTCTATCCCCCTGACCCCTGTGAAGCCTGGTATGCTATTATGGACACAGAGACGTTTAGTACATAAATAATGCACACTTCACCATATCAAGCCCTTTGCTACTTTGTCCCCTTATATCTTTTCTCTCAATTACATAAGACCCATTCCTCCTGACCAAGATCAACTTAGAACAGAAATGCAGAAATGTGGCTGCTCCCAGCAGAGAGAAGTAATCTCCCCAGCTCTGTGCTCACCCTTCTCTGTGGCTGTTACCTAATTAAACAAAAGTGGGATGAGAAAATAATACTATGAGAAAAGCATTTCTGTCTTATCAACAATACACACATTATTGGGCTCCAAATATAAATACATGTAACACTTAATGAAGCACCCAGAAACTGCAGTAAGATCCTGTAATTTACAGTGGCTATGTTAGGTGACAAACATCTCTCCATAACTATTTGTTCATCTGGACACCTACAGGAAAGGTCACCCTACACATTACCAACAGCCAATTCCCCCATGCACACAGTGTAGACCACACGCTGCCTCGGAAACAGTGCTTTTCCCTCATTTTCTCCCTTGTCATATCTGTTAGTTTTATGACCTGCACCTTGAACCCATGCAACAGGCTAAGTAAGGTTGCAGGCAAAGAAAAGCAGGACACTAAGTATCTGAGTCTACCTGGTGGTTTAACTCAAAGATCTTGTTAACGACTCCCCCTGGATCTTTAAGAATTCTTAATCTGTTTGTAATCTGACATCAGAGCAAATATTATAATCTTAAAATAAGTTATTCATTCTCTCCAGGACTTGGATGCAAACAATCTGTGATTATCTATCTACCCCACCTTACAACACATAGCAGCAGCAATGAGTAGAGAGCCGTATCAGGAGCACATGTCTTTAAAGAATGGATGTAATAAGGCTGTTTCTGTTGTTATCCTTGAGGCTGGGTTTAGATTCAGAAGTTTATCAAGCAGGTCATTGGCTTCATCGGGTACCGAGTCCCAGCCTTCTGAGTTGGCATACAGTCTTGGGGATGACTCTGACAGCCGTCACTGTCCCTTCTATACAAGGTATTTTCTGAGTGCTGTGCTTGAGAAGCCTGTACATGGGACGCTTTATGGTCAGTGTTCTCTGAAGCAGCAGGATCAACAGCTGACTTGGGAGTGGCAGAGTCCAGACCCCGTAGTCTCTCACACAGTGCTCTCAAGTCTTGTACTGGGACTTCTTTGCTACACAAAATTGATTTGCCAAAAGCCTTAGCAGCCTGGATAGTTTCCCTGGATCCTCAAATTGTCATGATTTGAGCCAAAGCAGTTAAGTCGTCACTGGCCTTGTAAAACGGGTACCGCCCACTTAGCAAGTACAGGAATATGACACCTACAGACCACATGTCAATCGCTGTCGTCTGGTCAGGACACGTTGTCAGGGCCTCTGACGCTCTGAATCCTGGTGTGCCTGCCCGAGGGGCAACCTGCTGCTGCCTCAACATGCAAACGCTGCAGACTCTATCTGTCCCATAGCAGTCGCAAGTGAAGATGGCTGGGCAGGACCGGGCAGTTTCCCTCATCACACTATTCATAGCTTTTGTAGAAATGGCCGTCTTTTTTGTTGCTAGCTTTCTTGATATTATATCCACAGTCTTTGACTGCTTGATGAGTTTCTCTGCAGGGCTCTCATGGGAAATGGAGCTGTGTATATTGTAATTTCTTTCTCCAAAAACAGAGCGCTGGACAGAAAGGCCTACTGATCCCTCCTTTCCGTCTTTTCCTTGCTTAATGTGAAGTTGTGTGTTTGAGTAGGGTCTTTTGAGAGAAGGTTTTGTGGCACACTGCTGATCCCCATGTTTAGGTGCCGGGCGACTCAGTGGGCCCTTGTGTCCAGTGACTCCGTGATACTTGTTTCGTGAACAATCTTCCTGCTGAGCTTCAGACTGGATAAACTTGAGCAGTTCTAGTTTTGTGTCCCGTGTTCCTTGGGCCAAACCGAAGTCCACCAAGGCATATTTTTTAAGGCGTCTATTGTATAAAAAATTGCTGGGCTTCACATCACGGTGAACAATACCAAACTGATGAATACGTTTCAAAGCTATGAAAAGATTAAACATATATTCCCGAACTTCTTGGAAGGAAAGAGAATTCAAAATGTCCAAAAAAGACTCGTGTTCCAGATATGGCATAGCAATAACCACATGATCTTTTTTTCCTAAGCAGTACTTAACTCCCATGACATTGTCTTGCCCCCCTGCAACCGTCAGACACTGAAACTCTGCTGCAATCCTCACAGGATGACTTGTGGGGATTAAGTGTTTCAGCGCAATTTTCTCTTCATGTCCTTCTTGCAACTGTGCTGTGGCCAAATAAACAGAGCTGAAGGTGGCTTCTCCAATTTTTTCCTTAATTTTGAACACACTGACAAGCTGTGGTACAGCTTCACAAAGCTCCTCGATATCTCTTTTAATACTCAAAAAAAGAAGCATGTAAGAACTTTCAGGTTCTCCTGCAGAATGAATGCCAAGATGAGCTACGTTTCATAGTCATCCTCCAAGCCGGAGGCCTCTTCAAAGTGATCGCATGCACATCCTCTTCTCGCACTGCGTCTCTCCTGCAGCAGTGTCCAGAACTCAGGGCTTGCCCTGGGCAAGGGCTACTCCACTTGTAACACTTGGTTTCTATGCAGCTCAGGTGGTCTCAAGCTTGTATTCCTCTTCCTCCCCCTTCCTGAATGCTGGGTCTCGGGCACAGGCTACTGCTTAGGCCTCAAACCTTCAGCAGTCTGATGTTGGCAGAATAAGAATGAACATCATGCCAGACCTGGTGACACACATCTTTAATCCTAGCACTGAAAGTTTAACACTCTGCTCTTATTTTTTTAAAGAATCATCAGCCGGACACCTGTCACAGCCACGCAGGGGAGAAAACGCCATTGGCTCCTCCATCTGAGTCTCCAAAGAGGCTTTCACTACACACGACTGGAACGCAATGAGCGGGCTACGGAGTCATGTGCACTGGGCAAGAGCAGCAGGGTTCACGGAAGTTAGGACAGCCGCGGTAGCTGCCTCCCAGGAGCGTCCCACTGAGCCGGTCCGCCAAACGCAAGCGCAAGTCCTGTTCTGTGTTTCATATGTGGAGAAATGAGCCAAACTTCATTCTGCCAGTTTTTTACCCCCTGACTCACCTCAAAGATTTTCAGAAAAAAGCAGATGAATCAGGATGACAAAAAACTTAGTGCTACTACTGATGTAGCCCTGCCTCCTGCCTGAATCAACCTTGTAGCAAAGACTGGGGCATAAGAACTGTCAAAGCCCATGCTGAGACTACAGCCAGCAGCTAGTCCAGTGACAAACGTTATGCCCATGAGAATTGGATTCAGTAGATAGCTAGACATTCTACACTTGAAGTTACAACTGGAAGAAACAGGGTGAATATTTTTTTGTCTATTTTAAATAAGAAACGTATGTGGCCACTACATGTTTGTTTCTGATTAATCTTAAGGATATGAGTTTAATATATTCTGTATGTCTTTGTTGTAGATTATTGGCTTATAAATTATTGGATATAGTTAAAAATCAGTAGCATTTATCACAAAACCTTAGCTTAAAACTTTGAACTCAGAATCAGAACTGTTTTGGGTAGCATGAAATGGCATGAGCTACCAAAGAAACAGATTTCCAAAAATACTTTTAAATTAGAATAAGATTTTTATATAATTTTTGTCCTATCTTAAAAAAACAGGTTTATAAAATATATGATTTAAAACAATGAGGTATTAAAGCTGCATCTCCATCTGTTCATATACAATAATGTATCTTGCTGGCAGTAAAAACTTTATGACATAAGAGAAATCCACTTGGTATTGATTTTAAAGATATTAAATTGCCTGCACTGTCAAAACCAGCTTTTGCCTTCTACAAATTATGATTGTGCTTTGTGTTTTCCATGTTGGGAGGGGAAAGAAAATATACTATATTTTGATATTGCAAAATCACGCAATTGAAATATAAGAATCTTAACAGTTTGGTGAACCTGTAATTCTTTGCGGGGGGGGGGGTTCCTTTGTACCCAAATAACTGCAAGGCATTTCTATACCTTCTGTAGACTGCTCTAGCTCCCAAATAACTGACACATAGATCTGGGCATTTTTATTAACAAGGTAGAAGCCTAAATTGGGCAGGTTCTGAGCTACTCTTTTCCCCTAAGCGTTCTATTTTCTAGCCACATGGTCCTTTATCTTCAATCTGATCCTCGCCCTGGCTTGCTCTGCTCTGTGTGAGTCCTCATGCCTGCTCTCTCATCAAAATCTCATGGTGAATCCTCCTGTTCACTTCTTATGGTTCTCTTACACAATCCTCTCCTCTGGTTCTTCCTTTCTCTCGTCTTCCTGGGATCTTCTCCCCTGACTCAAAGAGAAAGTCCCAAACTATTTTCTTTTGCCCAGCTAATTGGCTGGTAAGCTCTTTATTGATCAATTAGAAAGTGATAGAGAAGAATGTTTACAAAATACTGAGACAGGTGATGCTTCATAAAAATAACAAATAATACCAAAGTCAGGCTTGTACTCAAATTTCCACTCATGTAGAAATCAGGATTTGAATATAAGGATAATCTTTACACAGTGCACAAAGCCATTAATCCAATGTTCTTTTGTTTTACAGAAAACTAAAAACTAGATATTTTTAAAAAATAGCCTTTAAAATAATTAAATTTATAAGACTATCGAACATTTAAAAGCTTATCAGATATTTTTATTGTAATGCATGTATTAATATATGACCTATATAGCTAGGTTAACTGTAGCATTGTCAGTTAGACAATAGCAGACAATCAGCTTCTTCCCTCAAGGCTACAGCCACTGTGTTAGTTCATTAGTTAAAGATATTAGTTCTCTTGTTAAGAAAAGGTGGACAGGTTTACTTTGTCCATAGACTTCATCTTAAAGGATAAAGAGTTTTCAGATGTAGATTTTCACTGAAAGAACATATTTCACAATGACTGATCTCAACTATATCTTCATGTTTCTGGTAAATGATAAGATTTAAAAAAAATGGTCAAAAATCCATGCAAAGACTAAGGATGTAAAAACTTAAGTAAGTTCTGAGGATCTCAAAAATTATTTAAGATATATAAAGATTTATAATATTTAAGACATATACATACAAACTATAAAAATATGTTATAATGAAATTTTAAAGGTTCAACATATTTGCATTCATAAATGAAATTCTGTTAAAGTGGTAGAATACTGACTACTTACTATTCAGTCAAAAATCCAAGATTTTAAATTTCCTTTGGTTAAATATGCTCCAGCTATTTTACAGACATATGTTAAATGCCTTTTAAAACACAATATGAATATTAATACAATCAGAATGCTCATATATCTAGAGTTTTTATTTCCTTTGGTAAATAAAAATTCATGTTAGTTTCATGAAATTAAAGAAATCATAACTTTTGGCTGGAGCAGACGTCTAGCTGGTCTGCTCCTGTAGAGACTCTGTATCCTGAGCCATCCTAGAGGAGACACTGTACTCAGAGCAGCGGGTAAGAACCCCTCCCATTCTCTATGCCCCAGAGTTACAACTGGGAGCCAGGGGAGCTCAAGACCCATTAATACCCCAGACCCTGACCCTCTGGAATACCACTTTCCTTCTTCCCCTGGCCTGGTCCTTTTGGCTGGGACAGACACCTAGCTGGTCTGCTCCTGTGGAGACTCTGTATCCTGAGCCATCCTAGAGGAGCCACTGCACTCAGAACAGCAGCCACCTAGCTGGTCTGCTCCTGTGGAGACACTGTATCCTGAATTGTCCTAGAGGAGTCACTGCACTTAGAGCAGCAAGATTACAGGATCCCAGAGGCGGCCTGAGTCCCAGCAGTTCTTCCACCCAGGAGCTTAGGATCACAAGATCACAGAGACATCTGGACTCTGAGGAGTTCTGACACAAGCAAGATAACTGGAAAGACAGACTCCAGTCAGACACAATGAGTGCAAATAACACTGGAGTTAACCAGATGGAGGAAGGCAAGCACAAGAACATAATAAGCAACAGAGACCAAAGTTACTTGGCATCATCAGAACCTTGTTCTCCCACCATAGCAAGTCCTGGACACTCCATCACACTGGAAAAGCAGGATTCAGATTTAAAATCACTTCTTATGATGATGATAGAGAATTTTAAGAAGGACATAAGTAACTCCCTTAAAGAAATACAGGAAAACACAGGTAAACAGTTAGAAGCCCTTAAAGAGGAAACACAAAAATCACTTAAAGAACTGCAAGAAAACACAATGAAGGAATAAAACAAAACCATCCAGGATCTAAAAATGGAAATAGAAACAATAAAGAAATCTCAGCCGGGCGGTGGTGGCGCACGCCTTTAATCCCAGCACTTGGGAGGCAGAGGCAGGCGGATTTCTGAGTTCGAGGCCAGCCTGGTCTACAGAGTGAGTTCCAGGACAGCCAGGGCTCCACAGAGAAACCCTGTCTCGAAAAACCAAAAAAAAAAAAAAAAAAAGAAATCTCAAAGGGAGACTACCCTAGAGATAGAAGACATAGGAAAGAGATCAGGAGTCATAGACACAACAGAATACAAGAGATAGAAGAGAGAATCTCAGGTGCAGAAGATACAATGAAAAACATTGACACAACTGTAAAAGAAAATGCAAAATGCAAAAAGCTCCTAACCCAAAAAAAAAAAAAAATCAAAGAAATCCAGGACACAGTGAGAAGACCAAACCTAAGGATAATAGGTATAGAAAAGAGTGAAGATTCCCAACTTAAAGGGCCAGTAAATATCTTCAACAAAATTATAGCAGAAAACTTCTCTAACCTAAAGAACAAGATGCCCATAAACATACAAGAAGCCTACAGAACACCAAATAGACTAGACCAGAAAAGAAATACCATTCATCACATAATAATCAACACATCAAATGCACAAAACAAAGAAAAAATACTAAAAGCAGTAAAAGAAAAATGTCAAGTAACATATAAAGGCAGTCCTATAAGAATACTGGAGGTCAGGCCTCTATCCCTGCCTTCGCAAGTTTAGAATTGCCACAGCCCTTCTATACTTAGAGAAGGGAGGAGATGTCAGGGGCTGCCCTGCTTAAACACTGAAGGCCTAAAATCAGCCATAGGCCTAAAATCAGCAGTAGGTCTGTCATATATGTATACTAACACCAAGTCTTGGGTCTCAGTGGAAAAACATTGAAACAGATGGCTATAAGCTAATGTAAACAGGCAGCTTTTGTGGAAATTTAAAAGCTTGAGTAGTCATAGACCTTGTAAATAGGTAGCCTGGGCAGACAATACCAACTTAGATGAGGACAAGTGAGTCATAGGCAGAGTCATAATGACTTGTCCCCTGAACCTTCACCCAGCCGATACCAGGTTCTGAAGATATCTGTATTCCCCCTGAACACCCACACTCCAGTATCATTCCCTTCCCCACATCCTGCCTTTCTGTGTTTTTAACCCCTGTGTGAATGAATTATGATTTGAGAAAAAATAAATTATAAAAAAAAGAATATGAAAAAAAAAAAAAGAATTACACCAGACTTCTCACTAGAGACTATAAAAGCCAGAAGTCCTGGACTGACATCATACAGACCATAAGAGAACACAAATGTCAGCCCACACTACTATACCCAGCAAAACTCTCAATCACTATAGATGGAGAAACCGAGATATTCCATGACAAAACCAAATTTGCACAATATTTTTCCACAAACCCAGCACTTCAAAGGAAAATTGATGGAAAACGCCAACACAAGGAAGGGAACTACAACCTAGAAAAAGCAAGGAAGTAATCTTCCAACAATCCCAAAAGAAGATAGCTACACAAACATAATTCTACTTCTAATAACAAAAATAACAGGACGTCACAATCATTTTTCCTTAACACCAATTTTTCTCTTAACACCAATGGACTCAATTCTC